GGAAACCACTATTTGCGAAATAAAGTGACTTGAGCTCCTGTCACAGCCTTTCCACCAAGGGCAAGCTTCTTTATTAGTGTTTGTTTGTTTGTTTGTTTGTTTGTTTTGTAGGTTTCGCCCGCGGGAATCCGCACCCAGTAGCCGCCAGTTCCTGCGGCCGCAGGATGAGTGCTGCCTTGTTACACCCAGGCTCCTGGGGATGGGACCGGGAGGGCGGGGGAGCGCAAAGGCTCAGTCCAGCTCCGACATCTGTTTCTCATCTCCGTGTGCTGTACAGAGGGGAAGAAAGTCTTTAGCAAGGGGTGGGAAAGGCACAGATTTTTTTTTTTTTTGAAATCACACGCACACACAATAAGAAAACTAAAGCAAATTTTAAAAAATAGACAAGACGTCTGGGCAGGTTGCAGTGAACGCTTCGTGTGTTGCAGCCCCTGCCTCGGGCGGGCTGCGCGCGTGGGGTCCGGGCTGCGGGCGGGAGCGGCCCGCGCGGCCCCGAGGGCGGAGGCGGAGCGGGGGCGGAGGCAGGGCGGGCGGGGGCGCGGCGCCCCGCGATCTGGCAGAGCAGAGGGAGGCGGGGAGCGCGCTTGTCAGGTTCCCTCTCGCCCCGGGGGCATCCAGCAGAGCCCGGCTCGGAAATCCGCGGGGAAATGGCAAACAGGATTGACGGGTTTCTCGCGCTCCTCGCCAGACACAGCGGCTCATTTCCATAACCGTCTGCGGCGGCGGCGGCGGTGGGACCTGCGGGGACCTCGGCCGCCGCGCACCGGGCCACGCCGACAGGGCCCGGGAGGCGCGTGGGCAGCGGCGGCCGCGCGGAGGACGGCGGCGGCTGGAGCGCGGGGCGCGCGGTAAGAGCCGCGACCCCAGGGCGCGCGGGGGCGGGGAGGGTCGCGCGGGGGGCCGGGGCGCAGCTGGACACAGCGGGGCGCGGGGGCGGCGCGCGCTCTCCGGGGCCGCGCTCTCTTCCCGGGAGCCGCGGCGCGCACGAGGCGACCCGGGCGGTCGGCGAAGACCCGGTGGCGGCGAGTCGGTGTCCCCGGGTAGCAGGAGGGTCGGCCTTGGGGCCAAGAGGGTAGGGAGGAGGGCCTGCGAGGCGCAGGGATGCGCGTTCCGCGGAACAAGGCGCCGCTGCCGGAGCTGACACCTTGTGTCCCCCGCCACCTCCGCGCCCGCCCCTGCTCCCGGCTGCGGGCGGCGCTGTCCTCGGCTCACCTCCCCGCGGGCTGCCAGGCCCACGCCCCCGCCTCTTCCAGCCTCCTCGGCCCCGCAACTTTGCCGAGTGCCCGGCCGCAGGAGCGGGGCACCAAGGTCCACACTAGCTCCAGCGGCGCGCACGGCGCGGGCGGCAGCAGCTCGGCGAAGGACCAGGGCAGCTGTGGGCTGGAGTGTGGCCCCGCCAGCCGCTGTGAGTCATAGCCTTGGAATCCCACCTTGGCGTGTATTTCCCATAGAAGGAAACTTGGTTTTTAGAAAGAGAGCGAATAATGATAGCCCTTATTCTTCAGGAGAGGCACTGGGCTCCAGTACCTTGGAAGACAACTTGCCTTTGTTCCCAGACACTTGGGCTGTTTACTTTTCCCTGCGGCCAGCAGCTGGCCGGACGGTGCCCTCGGTCCAGGAAAAGGGCTTAAGGACAGTGACACCAGTCTCCAGGGTGCGTCTGTGTGAGACCCTGGATAAAGAACCTATCACACCTCTGCACCCTACCTTGGGCCTTGGCTGAGAAAACTGACCTCAAAGCTCCAAGTGGGGAATCGCTGACCGACTTAGTCCCCCCCCACACACACACCTGCATTCCCAACCCCCAGCCCCAACAGAGAACTCTTAGCCTCCTGGGACCGCAGCTGGCCATTACACTTCCCAGGGCACCACAGGGGCCTGCAAAAAGCAACACCTGTCAGGTTTGGAGCTTTAAAGGGTTTTGTTCTACCCACCCAACCCCTCCCACCATCATTGGTTGAACCAGCCAAACTGTTGAGATTCTGTCTGGGACCGCATGGAGTCCATGAGTGGGGAAGTCTCTTGACTCCCCGGGACAGAGCACTGCAGGTCTCTGGATTGCAGTGGTCACCCCATGCTGTCCAGAGTGATCTCTGTCTTCCAGCAGTCTAGGGGCGCCTTATATAAAGTGCTCTGTAATTCCCAGTGTCAGGAGGAAGAAGGATGATCTTTCTGTCATGCTGCTTTATGTCTAGTAGCCCCTGTTAGCTTCCTGGCACCCTGAGCCAGAGCAGCCACTGTCTTTTAGCACCGTAATGGCTTCATTCAGGGAAAACCAAATTGTACAGAAATGCACATCTGAAGAGCACTCGGTGAAAACACTCACACTTAGCCTTGAGAGGGTGCTGGAGGGGCCATTCCACAGCATCACCTCAGTGACCAAACACTTGCACAGGAGCCCGAGGGACACAAGTTATTGAAGTAAGACCCTCTGTTTTAATCCACTCGTTTCTGATCTTAAAACAAGACAAAAATCTCTGTAGTATACATCTCTCCTGGCTGTTTTTCATATTAACAGTATCAATTTGTGAACCTGGATTCTTGGATTCCTGGATTCCATAACAGAGGATCCATGCTAAACACGAGTGTCCAGGGCTGTGCAGCCCAGTGTCTCAAGGGCACCGTGCTTGCCTCCCTAATTGGTTAACATCCGTGTGAGTTCCAAATAGACCAGGAAGGCTCAATTGCAGATTCTCCTCCCCCTCCCAAATAGTTCCAGCTCATTCATGTTTTATTCCAGCTTAAATAAATCACTTGCAGAACGCTGCCCCTCCCGTTTAAAAGCTTGTGTGTAACAGTTTTCAGTCTGAAAAAAAAAAAAGAAAAACTTGAAGAAAATCGATGTTATAAACATAAAAGAAACAAACCACCCTAAAAACTATCCTGCTACGTCTCAAGTTCGAATGCATAATGATAGAATCTCATGTGTTGTAAACAATGCAAATAGAAGCTCTGAGAGTCTTAACAACAGAAAGGCTGCTCCCCAAGTCACTAGAACATAAACAAACTGAGTATGGCAGAGCAGCCCAGGGCCCATTAATGTCCTATTAAGCAAAGGTAATTGCCGCCAGGAGCCTCGAGGTGCTTCTCTTTTTTTAGGGTTTTTTTTTTTTTAAATAAACCCTCTTTTGTTTGTATGTAATAAAAGTTCCACCAGGCAAAGGCTTGGATCCTCTTCCCAGAATCCACTGCAGAGGTCAGAAAGGGCTGTGGTCTGTCTCCAGCTGTGGCAAATTCTGGATACAGGTGTCTTTTAGACTAGGTTATGAAATCGGACTCTTTGCTTGGTTGTGGAGTTTGACAGGAAGAGACCAAAGGCTGAGTTTGTTAAGCTGATGGAGACAAAATTTGACTGAAAGAGTGAAATAAGTAACATCTCCCAGCATTTCTGGATAGAGAATTATTGTATACATGTCCACACACATGCACACACTCATAGCATGCACACACACACTCAAACTCACACGCATGCACACACACATGCACACACTCGCAGGATGCACACACCTGCATTCTCTTCCCCTAACCCATTCCTGACATCTATTTGGAAAGAAAAATGGAAGTGCAGACTCTGAGGACCAAGTCAGCTATATCCTGATTCTACCCACTCACTCATTGGAGACCCTGCCCTGTCTTGGGGTTGGGGTGGGGGGGGGGGAGGCTTCAGCTGAATCCCAGAACACAGACACCTGGTGAAAAAATAGCTCTCAGTAGCTGCTGTGGTAACCAGAGGACCTTGCCACTTTACTGAAGCTGCATTCTCCCTTTCCCCTGGAAGTGAACTGATGTCCTAACATGTAGAGAACAGCACTCTTCATGAGACGGTGACAAGCCCATCCTTGCCCTAGCCAGGAGGCAAAAGAATGAACTGGGCCCTTGCTATGCCACAAGGAAAATCCATCTTGAGCAAGCAAGCTGGATAGCATTTCATCCATGCAGGTCTGGATGTCCTAAAGAAACCTGGAACCAGATATGCCAGGTCTTCCCTCCAGCCTGTGGCCCCAGGATCTTCCTACTGTCGTGCCTGACTCTTTTCTCCCTGAAACATACTCTTAACACCATCTTGAGGGTCAACCGAGCCCCATGGAAGTGGCCCCATAGCCTGGATTCCACGGGGCCAGAGTCTGGGAGCATCCCAGAGTATCCAAGGCTAGGCTGCTCCCTGCAGTCCTGAGGTCAGGGTGGGGAACCAGAGAGGATTGTGTTGACTCTTGGAAAGTTCCTGCCATGCATCTGGCTTTGCAGTTTAAAGAGTTGCTGGCTGTGTCTGCCCAGGGCCCTGGCTCCTGTTTAATATTCTGCTGCTTGGTTGATGTTGTGCTTGGCTCCTGTGGGACTGCAACTCACGGCTGGAAACTGGAGCCAATTTTCTGTCTTCATCTCGCTGTGTTTTGACTGGAGGCAGATCCAGTTCAGGCCGATCAGGGCTGTGGAAATAACTACCGAGTGTCTGTCAGCTTCACCCCGGGGAGGAGAGAGTAGGGGAAGATCCTGAGTGTAGAAGAGGACCTGGGAAGAGAGGGAAAGCTGGAAAAGAGACTTAAACTCACCAAGTGTTGGGAGGACCCGAGGGACTTCTGCCCCCTACCCCAGTTGATTAGCAGATCTCATCAAAGGGGTCTCCTAGGGGCTTGAATAGAAAATTGATTTCACCTTATTAATAGAAGAGAGTGAGAGGGTTCTGGCCCCGAGTCCTCTTAGGGGTACATTTTCAAGGTCTGGAGTAAACTGTATTTGGGAGGCAGAGCAGCTGTCTGAGAGAGGCTGAGGGGATCTGAAAACAATAAGGAGAGTGGGCTCTACAGATCCGCCCTGAAATGCTGGGCTGCTGATCTCAGTGGCTACTAACAGCATCAGGAGCTTAGCTTACTAAGGTTTCCTTGGAAAGATAATCAGATGGTTGGGTAGCAGGGTGGGGTGGGGCGGGAAGTAAAAGTTTCTTCAAGCACTGAAGATGCTGAGACCATCCTGAGGCTGGCTCCTAATCAGAGCTCTTTCTCTATCCCCCTCCCCCACTCCTTTTTTCCCCCAGATCTAAGGCTGTTAGAGATGACGCTGGTTCTGTCCATGAATAGATTCTGCGAGCCCATTGTCTCAGAAGGAGCTGCTGAAATTGCCGGGTACCAAACACTATGGGAGGCTGACAGCTACGGAGGTGTGAGCCCCCCAGGGCCAGCACAGATTCCTTCTCAGGGAGACCGGGGAGCCAGCTCACAACTGGCAGGTATGGCCTTTGGCCTCCTCCTTAGGAGGCCATGTCTAGTCAGACCCTGGGGCTGGGCTCCTTGGGAAAGTCTTCAGTCCACCTGCTGTGGATGTCCTGGAACAGCATTTTTAAAGGGACCAAAAGTTTCGATTCCAGCTTTCTGACCCATTGAAGTGAATGGTCCCCAGGGATGTACAAGCCGTCACAAGCTCCACAGCCAGACCTCTGTTCGTAGTTCATAAAGGAATCTGCCACAGCCTCAAGCTACCTCTCTTCACGGACCACATGGTTGATGAGAAAACAGAGTGTATTCTTCTAGACATTAATTCTGATAGTCTCAAATAAGTTCTTCTGAGTTCTTATTCAGTGATAAGTCTGTGGGTCTTATTTATTTATTTATTTATTTATTTATTTATTTATTTATTTATTTCAAAGAAACAGAAATACAAGCTTCACGAAAATCTGGTCCCTGAAAAGGTTTTAAAGTCCTCAAAGGGGGCTCTTGCTTTTTTATTCGTTGGTTGACATGTTAACATTTCCAGAGTGAAACATAATTTAATTACTCCAAATTCCAAACCTTAATAATCAACTTTATATTTTAAGAGAAAAAAAAATGCTATAACTCTCAGGTATAAGTGTGCGTTTGTTTAGTAACTCTGAAGTGATTCGTATCCGCGGTTCTGCTGCCTGTGTGAGGCGTCTGAGTAAGTGCTGGCATTACTTCAGATAGGTCACTCTCCTTCCACCCATGGATTCTGCTGTGGGCCTAAGCATAGAGTTGAGATTCCAGGCACTTAGTCAATGAAGAAAGGTGGGTGGCATTTTCCTCTAACCCTGCCTAGAGATCTTCACCTTCCCAGGCTCACAGGACCCCATCCGATAGCAACTGTGAAGACAGGTTTGTTTTTCATCACTGCGTGTACAGACGGGGATGTAGCCAAGTTATCCACGAGAGGGAAAGGAAATGAAAGTATTTTGCTTTGAGAATCCCTGGCAGGCCTTGTGTCATTTGTCTGTCTGATTTATTACCGCAGGATCACATTACAGGGGAATTCCAAATCCTATAAGCACACACAAGGTCACATACTTCAAGAGGAAATATGCAGAAGAAGAGGATCCTCACCCACCAGTCAGCAGCTGCAGTCATAAAGTACGTTTGAAATAGTAGTTATTTTATTAACAGTTACGATGCTTCATAGCACATACTTGAACCATTTCCAGACATTAAATTGTTCCACCCAAGCAATAGAAGAGAGACATCTCTTTGTGGGGCCACGTGAATCGATGTCACTTTGGGGGTGGGGTGGCTGCTGTGGATAGTTTTATGTCAGTTCATCACAAGCTAAAGTCATCTGAGAGGAGGGAACTTCAATTGAGAAAGATCAGGCTGTAAGCAAGCCTCTAAGGCATTTTCTTAATTAGTGATTGATGGGGAAAGCACAGCCCACTGTGGGTGGTGCAATCCCTAGGCTGGTGGTCCTGGGTTCTATAAGAAAGCAGGATGAGCAAGCCAGGATGAGCAAGCCAGTAAGCAGCACCCCTCCATGGCCTCTGCATCAGCTCCTGCCTCCAGGTTCCTGCCCTGTGTGAGTTTCTGTCCTGACTTCCTTTAGTGAAAAACTTCGCTGTGGAAGTGTCTTCCGAATAAACCCTTTCCTTCCCAAGTTGCTTTTTGGTGGAGGTGCTTGGTCACAGCAATAGCACCCTAACTAGGACAGAGACTGTGTTACTTTTCACATGTCTTGAAGAACCAGAAAGAGAATCTTTCCCCAGAAATAATAAAATTATGTAAGGAAACACGCATCTTTTTGCCTGTGATTTAATATTCCCAGGTTGAAGGGTAGGGCCGCTCTGTGGTGTCATGTGGTGGAGATGCACTTGACTGGGAGGACACTGCTTGTGCTGATTGGGGTTTTCCTGACCCCCTGAGGTCAATGTCTCATCCCTTGGCTGTGTGCCTAGAGAGCAATCATGCTGTTCCCGATCCATCCTAACACGTCAAGTTTGTTAAAATTCAGAATTCATTCCCAAGGAAGGAGACACAGATAGCTATTTTTCTTTTCACAAATGTAAAGAAATAACACAGGGAGAAGTGCATGAGGGGAAAAGCTGACTATCTGAGCATTAGTTCTTCTGTATGCTGCCTTCCCTCCAGACCTCCACTGACCTTACCAAAGAGGAGCAGCCAGAGCCCAGTGGCCCAGATTCTGAGGCCGGCTTCCAATACCTCTGTGACCCCACCCAACCTATATGTTGTCTCCCCTCTCCCACCCCTCCCCACCCTTCATATGTCACTTTTGCCTGTTTGTGAAAGGCGCCCATGTCTATTTCTTTAGTTTCTGTGCTGTGGCTCTGTGAGCTTTCCAGTTGCTACTGGGATCTGCCAGGTGCGACAGCACATCCTGCGATCCGAGCAGGGCAGTTGGCTTTCTGCGGGTTCAGTCTGGGCTATACTGTGAGTTCCAGGGTGGTATAGGCTACAGAGCAACGCCGTGTTCCGTTTTTATATTTTATTTTTACAAAACCAAGTTATCAATAATAACAGTTGCTAATGGTTTTGCAGCATCGTTCACCCAGTGACAGCCTCGCACAGCCCAGGACTGCACACACCACCCCATCTCCAGTTTCTCTGCAGCTCTCTCTTCTGCTAGCCCACAAGCCCTCAGTTTTCAGGTGCTTAGTCTGAGATTCATTTACTACAGTTTCCGTCTTACTAAATAAGGCAGACATCGGCGTTCTTTGGTGGCCCTGTCCACACTCTGACATGTGCCTGTTAGAACCTGTATCTCGAATCTTTAAAAGACATGTACTAGGGCTGGAGAGAGCGTTCAGCAGTTGAAAGCACTGGCGGCTATGAAGAGGACCTGAGTTCTATTGCTAGCACCCATTTGACAGCTCACAACTGAATATAACTCCAATTCCAGTGGGTCCAGTGTCCTCTTCTGGCCTCTCGGGTGGGGACCAGGCACTCACATAGTGCCCAGACAGATATGCTGGCAAACATACATATAAAAATGATTTTCAGCCGTTAAGGATGACACAGGCCTTAATTACACCCAGGTGACAGAGGCAGGCAGATCTCTGCGAGTTTAAGGCTAGCTTGGTCTACATAATGAGTTCCTGACAGCCGAGGATATATAATAGAGAGACCCTGTCTCAAAAAATAAATTAAGGGGGAAGGGGGAGCTAATAATAAAATAAATCTTTAACAAAAATAAATTAATTAATAGTAATAAGACTCTTTGAAAAATGGATGAATTTAAAAACATACTGCTGTGAAATGCATGAGTGTGCCTCTGCACAAAGACATGAAATACAGCTTGATACATTTCACCCAGAGCAAGAGTATCCCTTGTCACCAACAGCCAGGTCAAGCTGACTCCTCCCAGGGCTGCTTCAGATTACCTAGCCCTTACCCCCACAACAATCGCTGACCCGACCTCTGACCCTCCCACACAACAATCGCTGACCCCACCTCTGACCCTCCCACACAACAATCGCTGACCCCACCTCTGACCCCCACAACAATTGCTGGCCTGATTCTAACAACTCTGGTTGACTGTGTCTCCACTTCTCCTACACTGTGACTTAAAGGCCTGAGCCTTCTGGCTGAGCCCTCCTCAGGTCCACTCCAGTAAGTTAGGAAACAGGAGGGTTTGGGGGTGTCCACAGCAATGGGGCCAGCCTCTAAACGGGTGGTACTGTTTTCACAAACTTCATTTCCTAAGGGTTCTCCTGCCTCTGGTTTTCAGACCATCTCTGTTTTTGAGGAGCGAGCACACATCCTTTACATGTCCTTGGAGAAGCTCAGGTTCATCGATGACCCAGAGGTGTACCTGCGAAGGTCTGTTCTCATCAACAACCTGATGAAGAGGATCCATGGGGAGATTGTCATGCAGAACAGCTGGTGCCTCCCTGCCTGCTCCCTCAGCGGCACCTCCGCCCAAGAGTGGTTCCTGGCTCAAGACTGTCCTTACCGGAAACGGCCCCGGGTGGCCAAGGAAGAGTGGGAAAAGATCCACACTTGCTGTTTTTACCAGGAGTGTGGTGGTCACTGCCTGAACCTACCCCTCTCTGTCAACACCAGTGTTGGAAACGCTTCGGCTGCTGCTGTGGCTTCATCTGCTTCTTCCTCCCCATCCACCTCTTCTCCATCCACCCCATCCTCCCCGTCCTCCTCTTCCTCCTCCTCCTCCTCCTCTTCCCCTCTGCCTTTGCCTAGTTGCTCCCACCATGTGGACTTTGACATAGGCAGTGCACCTATTTACAAGAGCCAAATACCTGCCAACGAAATCTTTGTCACTAACATTAGGTCGCTTGGTGTCCAGGAAAAGATCAGATTCAACAATGACGGGAAACTAGCTCACGAAGCCAGCAGAGATGGAGACGCCCTCGGCCAAGACCCTGTGGGAAGCGACCTTGATTTTGAGTGCAAAGGCCAATTTTACGATTATTTCGAGACGGGGTATAATGAGAGAAACCGTGCGAGTGAATCTTGGAAAAAGTCGTTGAGGAAAAAGGAGCTTTCCCCGAGCAACAAACTGTGCTGCAGCCGAGGGGGCAAAATGTGACTGTCCCCCATGGGCGCAGAAGCTCGCACAGCATGACCAGTTTTTACTTTGGATTTTGTAGTTTTTGTACAACCGATAAAATCATGCAGTAAACACCATGCTGGGCTGCTTCACTGCCTAGAGAGCAGATTGCACAAAACATCTGTACAGTAGGCACCCACAAGCCACTTATTAATGTGATTTTTTGCCAAGGAAAGCCAACTTCGTGTTTCAAAGTATATCTTAGTTTTTCTTTTCTTTAAAAAAAAAAAATCAGTAGAGTAGATAGAAGACAACATGCCCTTGTTACATTCCCACTGCCCCTCCAAGGAGCCTGCCGCTAGCCAAGTTCAACATGTTTGCCAGTTAATTAGGTAGTTACTTGGTAAACAGATCAATATAGCCAGCAGAGGTGCCTGCTGCCATGTGATACAGTATTTTTCTTTCCGGAGTAAAAGACTCAAGGCAGGACGCTAGATGAAGTGGTTTTGTGAGCTGTGACATGTTTGTACTGGACAGGTTGGGGCGACATGAAGAGCACCTGGCAGGACAGCAGTCTAGGATCTGTGGAGACAGTTCCCTACAAGCTCCTGGCTTGCCTGTGATAGGTAGTGGGTAGCTGGAGAGGTGGCATACAGGGCCATCTCTGATGGGGCGATAGCGAGGTGGCATATAGAGCCATCTCTGATGGGGTGATAGGTGGTGGTACAGGGCCATCTTTAATGGAGTGGCTAGAGAGGTGGCATATGGGGCCATCTTAGTGGTGGGGTGATAGGTGGTGGTACAGGGCCATCTTGGGTGCCTTACTTTATCTTAATTTTTGCCAGTGTGAAAATTAAGGCTGAATGAGAGTTGCAGCAGGGATTTGACAAAACACAGGGTGGATCCATGCAGTTTGGAAACTTAACTATGAACTATCTCGTTCAACTTTCTAGTTACCCTCCCCCTTTTTCCTTTGTTTATGACGCCCAGTGGCTGTGGGTCTGATACTTTTGGGTAGAGATGGAGAAAACAATGAGGAAGGCCATCAGGAACAGAGAAGGCTGCCTGGGTTCTCCATGGCAACGAGCAGTTGCTGGGTCTGGGCTCTCCCAGCTTTGGGCTGTTTTGTTTCCTTGTCCAGTGACATTCACAGCCCGTGGCATGCGTTATATTTTGACCTGTTTTTTGCATCATTTCATGCGTTTAGACTCTTAAGAGCATGTGGTTTCTATATATGACTTTCGCTGTTGATTGAGAAGCACAATGTTAATAGATTATGTGGTGATCAATACGTTTTTATCTTAAAGAATGTAAAGGTTTGTAGTTTGCGGAACGTTATTTTGGAGAAATGGGGCTCGCTCGTCATTGATACTGTGTATTTGGCCAACACGCTATACAATAATACCTTGAATTTGCACATTGGCAAGTGTCCTCAGTGGTACTCTGGAACAGTCTCACCAGCTCCTCATGAACCACTCCCATCTCCAAGGTCAAGGATTGGCCTGGGTGACTTGGGTCTATTAGAACAATTATTTACAGGAACCAAATGCCAAAAGGAAGAAATAGGTAAGTTCTCCCACTTTCTCCAAGATGAAGCTTTTTAATCATTGCTATTAATATTAAATAGGTCTCATTCATACAGTGTATGAGTAGATCGTTTGGGCAATTGTCCGCAAGGACCAATTTTTAAAAGATGTTCCTGTGTTCTGGCTGAATAGTCTAGTAATGTCTCGTCCTTTATTTTCAATATTTGATGGACATTTTGGTGTTGAAAATTTAGCCGATAGATGCTTGTATATGACTGTGTTGTAATATAGTGAGGTTTTCTTGACATATATTTATTAAAACGATCAAAACTCATTACGTTTTTTACAAATTTTATTTTAGTGGCTATTTCTCTTTTTCATGTTTTTCTATATTAAAACAAAACAGACAAACAAAACTCTTTCGAAATGTCCAGAAACAGTAGATGACAACCACACAGGTGTTTAAGTTAGGAGTGAGCCCGGTCCTCAACCATAGGCGATTACTTTGTCAGACGTCAGATTATAAAGATGACCCACCTTTAGGTGGCTTTAACAGCCAGGGGATTGATAGTAGTGTCCCCTTCCATCCTGCATCATGTTTCTTAGAAGCTAATGCTGTATTTGATAAAGAGGGAGATCTAGTCGAAGAGAATTGATGTCAAACATGTCAGCTGTATTCACAGTCTGAGCATTTCAATGTGGAGAGACGCTTTGCTCTTGTGCTTCTTGACCCCAGCATTTCCAGACAGTGTGATCTTGGTGTGTTCATCCTGTGTTATTTGGAGGGTTTTAAGACAAGGTCTTGCCACGTAGCCCAGGCTGATCCAAGTTCCTCAGCCTCCTGCCTCTGCCTCCCAAGTATCTATCTCAGATGCCGACACAGCCCTGTGAGTTGGAATTTTTGACAGTGTTCACCTGACCAGGCTCCTGCATCCGCTCAGCAGAAGCTGGTGGAATCATTCCTTTGCAGCATGAGAATCAGTTTCTGCTTGTCTGTGGCGGGAGGGAGGGTTGTTGCTTCTAGGACATTTCCAGAATACTGAAAGAAACTTTTTCTAAAACACACAAGAACAAGCCTTATACAAGCATCCAGATTACAGAAGTGTTCTGTCATCAGTGTCAGTGTGAGCGCTTCCTGTGTGGCTGTGGATACGCAGGCTGAGGCATCTACCCACGCAGCACTAGTTAGATCTCTCCGGTGGCCAAGGCACTGCCATACTGAACCCCTCCACTGGGTTCTTTGTGAGGCTTAGCCACTCTCCTACAGGAAGAAGCAGGATGGGATGACAGGAGGGTCCCTGGAGTTTTCCCAGTAGTCTCCCTAGCCTAATCAGTGAGCTCCAGGCCATGGAAAGACACTGTCTCAAAAAAAACAAAAAAACAAAAACAAAAAGGACAGTTTCTGAAGCACAGTGCTTGAGGCTGACCTCTGACCTCCACATGCACAGGCATGCGTGCACACACACACACACAACCTGTCCACCTATGTGTGCACCTGCACACACTTGAACACAAGCATGAGAGCACAAAGAAATTTATTGAAAAACAATAACAACCAAATAACCCAAGTGTTCCTGTGCTGTTCTATCGAAAGAGTACTTACTTGCCTAACATGTACAGGGCTCTGGGTTCAGCCCCCATCACTGCATGGACAGCCCCGTCCACACAACTGTAATCCCAGATGGGGAGATGAAGAGAGAGGAACAGAAGTCCAACTGAATAGCAAGCATGGCAGTGCGAAGCCAGCCTGGGATACTAGAGGCCTGGTCTAAAAAAGTATCTTCCTCCCCAACGTCAGCCCCCTGCAGCTTCTGCTGCGTTTATAACCCAGTCATTTCTGTTCCTTCCCTTCCAGCCGTGGGTAGTTGTAGAAGGTGATCTGACAAAGGCACTGTCTGCCCATCTATCTATCTATCTATCTATCTATCTATCTATCTATCTATCTATCTATCTATCCATCCATCCACTCATCCACCCACCCACCCACCTATCTATCTGTCTGTCTGACAATCCATCCATCCATCCATCCATCCATCCATCCATCCATCCATCCATCTATCTATCTATCTATCTATCTATCTATCTATCTATCTACCTACCTATCTACAGAGTCTCCCTATGTGGCCCTGGCTTGAATTCAGAGATCCACCTGCCTCTGCTTCCCAAGTGCTATGTTTAAAAGCATGTGCCCCACTCTTGAAACCCTGTTACCTGCACTATACCTTGAAATTGTCCTAGGGATAGGATACAGGGACTAGAAACATGGGAGGATGGCAGAGAAGCTAAAACCAGAAATCTCCATTCAGTAACCATCAGTAACTAGTAAAGCCTCTTTGATATGTTCTTCCAAAGCAGTAGAGACTTAGAAGGTCTAACATGTAAGTTTGTCACACAAGGACTTGGATATCAGGAGTCATGCAGGAAACAGATGCCAGTGAAGCATGGCCGGTCAGAAAATTGTGGAATATACAACTGCACCAGTTGCTCCCATTCTGACAATCAGAGCAGAAATCTTGAAGGAGACCTGGGCACCAGGAGATGCCCACATCAGGACTAAACAGTAGACAAGGTGGCAGGTTTCTTCCACTGAAGTTAGGACTCTACATCCTTCATGCAACTGAAAGCAGACAAGGAAATGAGTTGTTCAAGCCCATGTTAATGACAGACTCTTGACTGAAGTTACACTTGAGGTTACCATATCTCTGCTTATGTTGCTAGATCTCTGAAAAGCCAAGGGAGGGTATCAGGATGGCGTAATGGAACAATCCAGTAACGAGAACAATGAAATTAGTATTAGATTAAAAAAAAAAAAGCTATGATGTATGACTTTCAGTAATCTGTTTTAAGATTGCTGTGTTCTTTCTCTCTCTCTCTCTCTCTCCCTCCCTCCCTCCCTCCCTC